ATATACATAAACACATATGTACATACATAAACATATATAGATAAACACCTTGAGAGGCATAATATTTACATAAAGAAGCTATGCTGTCACATGCATTTTACATTTGCATATGCAAAAATCCACAAAATTACCACAGCCAGTCAATTCTACATATTTCGTGAACTTTCTAAGAGAGATTTTCAACCTTTCATTTTTGAGGATCTTGTAACACAGTATTGAAATAAAGACAAAAACACCGAGCAATTCCAGGATAACTGATATCTTGATACTTTGTTAGTGATGTTACTGGGATGCTCCCATACTCCAAGCGCAACTGTACCAAATCCACTGGCCCTGAGCTCCATATCTCCAGCACTCATTAACAAGAAAGAACTGGTTATCGTCGGGCTTTATTAGAGAACAAGCCGACTTTCTTCTTGTTAAACTAATAATTTTATAGACTTTCCTCACTTTTTTGCTGCCTCTTTTTCGATAAGCCGTGTTTATCCCTCAACAGTACCAGTGTTTCGAAAAAGAAAATCGCGGCAACAAAAAAGGCCTCCCATTAGAAAACAAAGGAACTCAAGGAATCTACTCCTCCATTTGTTGTTTTTTCTTCTTTTCAGGTGGGGCTTTTAGCTTTCATTGACTTCAAGAGGTCAAGCTCACACCAGAGAACGTCTCCAGTGACATTCCCGCCGCTAGTGACCTTGAAGGTCTGGGGGGATACTTACAAGAAAATCGTCGTTTCGGTGTATTTGCACCATCTTTTTGGAAACCACTTGGGTGGCCACCCATTTTTATGCATTTTTTGCAGGTATGCAATGCAAAAACGCATATTGTCGAGGGGTTGTCTGTGTGTGTGCGCGTGTGTGTGTATGTGTGTACTGGTGTCTGTGTGCTTCTGTAACGAGTTTTCATCTCGAGGTCCACAAAAGCTACAAGGCTGGAAATTTTTTTTGGTGACTTAATCTACATATAAATGCGGGCTCGTGTCCTCGAAATGGACGCTCAGGCCCACGTGGTTCTCACGTAGGGGCACGTGAAAGTTTTTGGCGGGAAAGCTTTTTCTGGAACGGCCCATGCTAGGAGGCTGGAACTTCACAGAGTTGTTCCATGGCCCCGTCTAATTCAAAGATTTAAAACTCAGCCTTCACGCACCCTCAGGACCCACGTACGCACGCGTCAAAATTTAAATTGGCATCATGCCAACTCCAAATTTAACGTGGTCAATGAGCTGCAGAAAGCTGCAATTCTGCAGCTTTACTTGTCGCCCACTCTTGTGCCCGTGAAAGTAAATTGCTTGTCAACTCTTGTGCATCTCAAGTACGAACACGTGAAAATCTCGCGCATGCGCTTTTGTAACTGTAGAATTAAACCAGCCAGAGGCCTTGAACTTTCTGAGCATAACCGATGATACATTTCGACGAGGTGCACGCAAAAACGACTTACGCATCACTTTCACGTCTCATGTAAGTTTCTCGTGTACGCAAGTGAAATTCGACTTAACTCGGCAACCAGAACAGCTGGAGTGCTGAAACTTTCTGAGCTTTATCCAAGGCCTTATTCAAGTAACCGCGGGCGAAGAAAGCATTCACGTTGTCACTCACTTACGAACACATGGAATTTGATGTAACTCTGCAACCAGAGCAGCTGGAGTGCTGAATCATTCTGAGCGTTACCCAGAGCAGTGTTTGAGTAGCCGCAAGCGAAGAAAGCATTCACTTTGCCACCCACGTACGAATACGTGAAATTTGGCGAAGCATCCAGAGCGCTGAATTTTTTTTTTTTTTTT